ATCTCGGTCCGGTCGCCGGCCGCAAACAGCGCCAGGTCCTTCGTCAGCGCACACGCTTCCAACACGTTGGCGTACTTGACGCGGTCGTACGGCTTTCCAAACAAAATGTTTTCCCGAATCGTCATGTTTTGGATCCACGCTTGCTGCGAAAAGTACGCGACGCGGCCGCCCACAAAGATGGACCCTTTGAATTTGTCTAGCTCGCCGAGCAGCGCCGCACACAGCGACGACTTGCCTTCGCCGACCGCGCCATGGACGACAACGAGCTGGCCTCGCTTCACGGTCAAGTTGACGTCCGTGAAGAGCGGCTTGGCAGCATCCCAGCCCAGATTGGCGTTTTCGACGACAATGTCGAGGTTGTCTTCGGCATAGCGCTCTACATTTGCCGCCGGTGCGGTCGCGGGCGTCCATACCACCGTCGGGTTCTTCTCGTCCAAGTCGAGGAATTCCATCATGCGCTTGACAGCGACAAGGGCTTGCATGAGGTTGGTCACGATGTACGGGAGGTTGCTCATGGGGAACTTGAGCAGGTTGAACAGCGTCAGCGCCGTAAAGACTTTGGTCGCCGTCAGCATTTCGTGCATCGCAAGCGCGTACGTGACAAAGGCGCCAACCGTGACAACTACCGGCCCGAGATACGTTGTCGTGGTGCTCACGCCAGCAAACACAAACACCTTCCACAACGACTCGAGCTCGGCGTTGCGCTCATGGGCAATCTTGTCGCCAAACTTCTCTTCCCATGCGTTTAGCTTGAGGATTTGCATCGCTCCAAACACTTCGTGGATCGACTTCATTCGAATGTCCTTGTTCGCCATGAGCTCCTCGAACGCCGCATGCTGGTACTTGCCAAGAAGCTGGTTCCCAAACAGCGTGACGAGTACAACGGCCATCCCCACAAACGTCGCCCACCCGATGACAGCGTACAACATGTAGATGGTGGCGACGATTTGGATGGGCACGAGCCATAGCTGGTTCGCAAACAAGGCAAAGTTCATGATCCACGTGATGTCGTTCGAGAAGAGGTTGGCGATTTCGCCGGCAGTCTTGTCCCGACGGCTCGTCGTGCTCAACGCGAGCGACTTTTGGAAGAGGAGGTACTGGAGCGCCGACGTGATTTGGACGGCCACGAGCTGGTTTTGCAAGTTGGCGTGCGACGACACAAGCGCCTGGAACACATTGACCAGACAGAGAGACGCGATCAACTTCAAGATGGACGGCAAGTCAAACTCGTGCGACTCAATCGCGGACAAGATCTCTTTGAGCACGACCGGGCCGTACAATGTGCAGCACACCGTCGACACTTGCATGGCGCCGACGACGGCAAAGCGCCACCCGTGTGTGGCCGCGATGGACCACATGAGCGACCTCGACGTGCGGAACTTGGGCTCGAACTGTTTGTTCACGTGGCTGCATTGGTTCTCTTCTTGCAGCGACCAAATGTCGGACGGGTCCAACTGCCGTTCGTTGCCGAGTCGCAGCAACGGTGTCGCCCACGTGTAAAAGAGCTTCGAGAACACGTTCGCCGTGTCGGCGGGGTGTCGATGGTGCTGTATCGACGCCTTGTCCGAGACTGCCAGCGACTGATACTTGGCCATCCCAAACTGTCGATGTCCGCGCTAAAGAAGAAATGCTCGGCCGCCGGCTCGCGGCGCACAATTGTTCCAAGATGCACCTAGGTGCAGGATCGGAGTCTTCAGCGATATATCGTCATTGAAATATATTTTATACTTGAAAAATGTATGCTGATACGTAACTGTGGTTCACATTGAAGTAACGGCATGCGAGGTATTCCGTCGCGGTAGATTCGATCGACGATTGGCTGAAATCAATGCACATTCCGAGGTGGGCTCGGAACAACGGTGTTCATGACGCCTCTCTACAGCGTGATCACAACATCTTGTGCCTGTGAGAACCACCTGAGCCCTACGAACTTGATACGGACTCGATCTAGATGCCGTCCGCATCGACGTTTTCGTGCTACATGTGAAAAAAGGATGTCCCCTCGGTGATTGTGTTCGTCCTGGGAGAATTCCAACAGGAATCCAATCACCAACGGTTTTGACCAATCAGAGGAGGCACACACTAAGCCAGCAACGGATGGATTGGACAGCGCAACTTTGGTGTGTCCGGTAGGACGCAGCACGCCTCGCGCACTTGGCCCCATACCCACATACACGATACCGACAACCTCCTGAAGTTTTTTGCCATCGCTGTCATTTGGCTCAAAACTCGACACTGGGCATACGAGTAGTATGCCCAGTGTCGTGTTTTGATTGGCTGAAAATCGATTGGAATCCAATGGAATTCGAATGT